CCAGGAGCTGAGGCAGTGGATGGACAGAAGGGGAGTGCAGATGCAAGTTTTTAATTTGTTTGCTTTACTGGTTAGGTTGGATTTAATTCTGTGCAGTTCTGACCTATCCTTAGATTGATTAAACGGTATTGGATTTGGAGTTTGGGACTTCACGACTTGCAGTAGGATTGAGTTTGTGGGGGACATTAGTGGGGGTATCAACCGGCAGCCTGTACAGGTCCAGAGTGGTATTCTTACTCTGTTCCTCACAAACTTTGACAGGAGCCTCGGTGGAGCTGTAGCTGAGCTACTAAGAAGAGTTGAAGACTCTGAACAGCAATTGCAAAGTGTACAGTGGAATAAATAAAACAAGCTATCAGCTGCAGCTGCTGTGCACAGGGTGCTAAACCAGAAGCCAGCCCATGCCAGGCAGATGTCATAGGTGTGGTAGGAACCCAACTGCAACACCGCAGTCAAAAGGACAGCTTGTAATAGCACACAGAACAAGCAGGCAGGTTAAACAGTGACAAAGTTCAACTCCTTGGCTTGAGGCCTCCCGAGGCACAGGATAGGTTTGGCGAGCCACACCAAAGCAAAGAGCAGGAGAATATCTGACATCTGCTGGACACACACACACACGCCAAACAGTTCAGTTGTATGTAGCTGTATCGTGGGGGGAGCAGACATTGAGTGAGAAGAGTCGAGGAACCAGAAATGACGATAAGCAATCTCTGTGGTGCGCACACAAAGGCGGTGTATGCTGCCACACAGCGAATCACTTCACAGCTCTGGAAAAAGAGGTAAACTCACAAAGAGCTGACTGGAAGTCTCTCCACACAGCCATGGAAAACAGGAGAGCAGAAACCAGGAGCACAGGAGCAGAGGCTGGTTGAGGACAGAAGGCTGAGTGGTTCACCAGGGAGCAATACTCTATTGCCTTGCTTTCTACTGGGCTGTTCCTCGACTTCCTGTATGCTTTATTTTAAGCACAGACAGGGAAATCATGCACCATCATTCCACTATATGACCTTATTTTGGACCTGTTCCAACTATCCACATCCCCACTGTTTCCATTTCCTATCTCTTCCTGAGTCCTCACTTAAAATTCTTCCCACCTTGCCCTCCAGTAATTGAACCTCCTGAGCAGACTCTCTTATTAACATTCTTCCAAACCTGCTTAGTACTGGAATATAATCACTTCCCATTGTGTATTTGTCCATTATATCCCATTCCCCCACAAAGGGAAGTTTACTTGCAGTTAAGGTGAAGGCCCAGACATATCAAACTGACTTCAGAGAACTAGTGGCGACTAAGGCCCCTTGCTGCATCGCCTGAGTCTCAGCCAAAAAAGTTTGACATGAACACCGCAAAGACTACAGCTGACAGTCATCCAGCAGTAGTTTGTAATCCTCATTCAAAAAGGGAAACAGGAACACCGTCTTGAGGCTAGTTAGCCAGTTAGCACATTAACGATTCAACATGTTGAACAAATGTTGACAGAACAACATTCAACATGTTGAATTGGCCCAGAAAAAAGTCGACAGGGGTCAACAGGGGTCAACATGGGGGGGCAGTGGTGCAGGACACAGCGCACCAATGAGGATGACACACAGTCACCAACGACCTAACTTTGACGGCTGCCCTCAGCTTAGTTTGTCAGGGCCTATAGGTCTATGCATGAGTTTGTCCCCAGCTGACTCGGAGTCCTGTTGGCTTACTATCATTTAATACTGCAACTCTTTCTTTGTTTTGAAAATCCTCCAGCACAACCCCATTTCCGTCTTATGTTTCACTTCCCCAGTATGTGCATTAAAATCCCCTACCCATATTACTGGTAACTCTACTTTATCCACTATACCTTCAAGTTTTCCTTCTTCCAAGTGTAACCTAGGAAAGTCGAGGTTGACTACAGAGATCTTTCCCTGCACTGACCACACTTTAACAGCCACACATTCAAACTCAGTATTGAGCTCTACATTCCTATATTGTAAACCTTTCTTGGCACACCCTCCCCTAGCTCTGTCTGTCCTTACACTTTCATACCCCAGGATAAGAAAATCTAAACATGGCTTCAGCCAGGTCTCCTGTACACATATCAAATCTGATTTCTCAACAAATGCATCTACAAATCTTTTTAATTCCTGAACATTGGCTACTGGATTCCTAGCATTCTGCTGCAAGATGTAAAACATAATCAAGTACTTAGCTATCCAAATTATCCTCATCTGACCTATCCTTGCTCTGGCTCCTGGTTACTTACTTATTGACTTTCAGCTAATTCGCATACATATACTTACACAGTGCCTCTGGGAGAGCATCACTGATGCATAGAATTTTTTCTGCCATTGCGATTATCTCACATGCAACATCTGACTTGTTTCTCAACACTTCTTTATTCACCACACTGACTTTGAAAAGAATGCAAGGAATGCCATCTTTTTAATCAGGATTGAGTCCTCTGGTACTGTTGCATATGATGGCTGCTGTCTCCCAGGCCCTGCTGCCAGGCTGCTGTTGCTTGCTTCCTTAATTCTTCTCATTGTTTCAGCATATGAAACCTTATTTTCATCCCTGACCTTCTGTGCTAATTCAGCCTTAGCATGATGGGGACATCCCCGAAACGATGCCACATGATTTCCCCTGCCACTACAGCATTTCAAACAACCATTACACTCTTTCATATCATGATCTTTGCCATATTCCTGCACTGGCAGTTTCCCCTACACACTGCTGCTATGTGGCTGAATATCTGACATTTATAACATTTTAAAGATGGTCTTTTATATGCCTTGACTCGGAAGCACAGATAGCTAACTGTCAACCAACAATCACTGTCTTTCTCCAGGAGCTCATCTCCTTGAAAAGTCAGTAGCACAGCTGAACTTTTCTCGCTCTTCTCTCTTTCCCATGTGAGTTGCTTTAACCACTCTCCCTCCCTTCAATCTGACCTTTAACTCCTCTTCTGAGATTTCATAAGACACATTATAAAGGACCCCTTTAGCACCACTGGCTCCAGGTATAACGCTGTCCACACTCTTACCACCTATGTTCCTTATGTTACAGGTTATAGTTTGCTGATCAGCTGATTTACAGAATGCCATTAACATTAGGATCAATTATATTTTCGTTTAGTAGGAAATGGTTTTGGTGTATCCTTATTCACAGATGACGGGGCCATATGAAAAAGTGATTAAAATGTAGGTCACATTTATATGCAACTATAGCAGGCACTGGATTGAGTAGTAGCATGGGCAGAGGAATGGGGTTTTAAAATCTCAATGGCTAAATCAAAATATGTGGTGTTTGGCTATAGAAAGAAAGCACCAAAGCAGCTGAAAGACTTAAAACATTGTGGGTGTCTGGTTTGAGGACAGAATGACATAGAGGGTTCATGTAAAGAAATCAGGTGCAAAGTGTGAGAAGGTCAATAATGTCATGAGATGTTTGGTAGGAATGATCCACAGGGCAATCATTAGATCTGCGACTGATTATGGGTGTATGGCATATGGGACAGCACCACCCTCTGCTCTCAAGGAGCTGGATGTGGTGCAGGCCAAGGTGGCAGGGCTTTTTAGAACTACACCTATTAGTGCCCTTTTAATTGAAATGGGGGAAACCATTTTAGAGCTGAGAATGAGCAAATTGTCTCTGACCTGCTGGGCTAAGGTCTCTAATTTTTGCTAAGTGTCTGGTGGGGGAGCACTGGGAACTTTGTGGTAAAGGGTGGAAAAGTAAGGAGGGGGAGTCTAGTACACTCCAGTACACTCGGTGACAGAAAATGGAAGGTGGGAATGACGGATTTGTCAGTGGGCCCAGTAGTGGGCCCATCATGGCTTTTACTAGAACTGGATGTAGATCTATCCATATTAGACCAAATAAAGAGGAAGTATGGAGGTGATCCTGTGACACTGATGGTGAGCAGACCATAACTACAGATACAACATGGAGAGTGTACATCAAATCGGATGTCAGTCGTCACCATAGAGCTTGTGGCAATATTGTGGGCACTTGGGTGGGTGGAGGAGGTCAGACCTGGAAATATAATTATATGCTCAGATTCCGCAGCTGCACTAATGGCACTGAAGAGTGGGAAAAGTGGGGGCAGACCACATCTATTGGTTGAAATGCTGATTGTGTTAAATTGAGTTACTAAGCTGGGTAACACTTATGGGTTAGTCTGGGTTCCAGTGCATGTTGGAGTGCAGGGAAATGAAGAAGCTGACAAGGCAGCTATCAACATGAAGAAATTAGATGTAGAAGTGCTGTATGGAAGAGCCGAGTGTAAGAGTTTGAAATAGCAAGGGATAGCAAAGAGATGGCAAGAATGGGAGGAGGGAAAGAAACGCGATACAGTCGACTATTAAATACACATTAAGTTTAAGAATGGGCAGGAGGGACAGTTTGGTAATAACTAGGCTGAGACTTGGTCCCTGTGCACTAAATCATGGGCTGGCAATGGTTGGTTGAGCACTGGAGCAGTGGAGAGGGAGAGACAGTGAATCATACTTTGATTTTTTTGATATTATCTCTGTTCAGACTAAAATGTAACATCTATTTGGAAAAAACAATGTCAGTACTTGTCACAGCCTGAGAGACAACCAACACAACAACATATAGTTCATCTCCTCACAGATCACGCTTTGCCGTTTTATTCACTCCTTCACTTAATGAGATTTTTAAAAATTGTTGTCTATGCTTTGTATTAATACATTGTTTTTAATTCTTTCTGAATTCACTGTCTTCAATTGTAACTGTGCTTTGGCACCACATATGAAATATCATGCCAATAAAGCTTATTGAATTGAAACTGAATTGAGAGTCCTCGTGCAAGCAGAGCTGGCAGAAGCTGGAGTCACGGATCAGTCGTTAAAATCAATACTCAAACAGATTATTCTCTCCATAAGGCTCAGTCATCAAATAGACTTCTACAAATAATCCTGCGGAGGGCAGCAACACGCCTTTGCTGCGTCTAGTCTGCCGGAAATCCAGAAGAAGAAGAACACGTATCTACCTTCTTAGCTACAAGCGAAGAAGAATGACTTCCTAAAACCACTGGCAGCTTTACGGTAGCCTGATGCTAGGTTAGCTGTAGCATTGTATGTACGGGTGTAGCCTGTTTTATAACAGTTGCCATGAATTAAGACCAAACTGGTACACCCAGCTCGGTTAAACGTCTCGGTAGGTAAACCATTTATCTATTACATTTGAAAATTGTCCTCTTTTTTGATCGTTTTACAACATTTAATGACGTCAGTTGACGTTAGTGAGCTGACTTAGCTCGAATGTTTACACAGCTGGGTTAGCTAGCTAACTAACGTTACTACGCTAGCTGCGGTTTGCTGATTTAGGCTCGTAACGTTTGTTCATATAAGCTACTGTCATTGTTCTTTTTGTAATTTCTCTTGGAAATTCTCAGTTAAGATAGCTCGATGATTTGTACGATATTCCCCTCGCGTTATCTTGAATATTTTGGCTTGGTGTCATTAGCATTGACGGATATGTTACGTTAGTCGTTACAATTGACAAGTTGCGTCATTGACAGCAAGGGCATTGAAATAAGTGTCATATAAACAGTCGATTTCTTTTGGTGGGAAACACGTGAACTGCTTTCTCAACATTGAATAATACTGAGATGTTGGGGGACCTGTGACCGTATGTAGCATTTTCTAGAGTATTTTTTTTAAACCTGTATTGTTACAAGGGTAAACGGTAATTCATTGTGTAACATTACTTACAGCATTACCCGAAGCTGTTATTAATCAGAATCCTGTGTTTTCAGTGGCTGGTTGGAGACAGAGAGGTGTCAGCCATGTATAACTCTGGGAAATACAGCTCGCGGGGCCCTGCTCTCATCCCACGGATGAAAACCAAGCACCGCATTTACTACATCACCCTCTTCTCTGTGGTGCTGCTGGGACTAATTGCCACCGGGATGTTTCAGTTCTGGCCCCACTCCATTGAGTCCGCAGCTGACTGGACCCTCGATAAACGCAGTGTTCACGATGCACCTCTGGTCCGCCTGCCTGTCTCCAGTCCCATTCCTGAGAGGGGTGACCTCAGCTGTCGCATGCACACCTGTTTCGACGTGTACAGATGTGGCTACAATCCTAAAAACAGAATCAAGGTAGCTGTCTCTTGAAACAATCTCCACATCACTGATCTTACATATGTTTATCCTGTCAATATTTTTCAGTGTTCCTAGTTGATGTTCTGATAATGTTGTTGATATGGATGCTTTTGCAGGTGTACATCTACCCTCTGCAGAAGTTTGTGGATGAGCTGGGGGTTCCCATTAGCAGCACCGGACTGTCTCGAGAATACAATGACCTGCTCAGCGCCATCTCTGACAGTGACTTTTACACTGATGATGTCACCAGGGCTTGTCTTTTTATCCCATCTATTGATGTGTTGAACCAGAACTCCCTGCGTATCAGAGAGACTGCCCAGGCTCTGGCATTGCTACCCAGGTAAATGTTTACTTTTATTCAATTTTAACCTTGTATGTCACTTTCAGTTGCTCTCTAGTCATTATGAACATTTTTGTCTTACTCATATCTGTTTTGTTGTAATTCTTAAAGCTCAAATTGTACTAACAATTATTGTTTAAACACAACATAATATATAGATGAATCATTTTTCTCTAAATGTCACAAATAATGTCCAATGCCCACATAAGATAGAAATGTGACAAGAGCCCAAAGGGATATCTCCAAATGTCCCTTTTCTAGTACATTGAGAAAAACATGTACAGTTGTATGAAATAGAAAGGAGCAAGTCATTTTTCACATTTTATAAATGCGGCTCTTTAATAATAACTTAAATCATTAATTGATAAGCAAAACTGCCGTTTAATTTTCTGTTCAGATAATCCGTTAATTAACTTATCGTTCCAGCGCTAATCTTGTGTGTCTTTTGGTAGATGGGACAAAGGGATGAATCATCTACTTTTCAACATGTTACCGGGAGGCCCTCCAGACTACAATACCGCCTTGGATGTGCCCAGAGACAGGTAGCTATCATACATCTGTAAAGCCATCCTAATATTTTAGAATGGGTTCATTATAATCTAATAATGGAAACATGTAGAACAAAAACACTCAAATTTGGATCCAAGTATAGGCTTGGTGGATGAATTTCCTTAAACTAAAAAGTGTCATGTCATATACTACTACAGTCATTTCACATATCTAAAGGTTAAAAATGATCTGAAACTACACATTTCATTCACAGCATCAGACATAGGGATGCTGTCTAAATGAGTGTTTTCAGGATTTTTTAGTCAGGTTCTCACTTGTAGGTACAAATTATAAGTATTTTTGGGACAGATGAAATTCTTTTACATGCTACAATGGGTTATGCAACTATTGGTAGTGTCTACCTTAACTGCAGTCATTCACAAAGAGATATTTACAAGCAATTTGTAGATAGTTTTTTCAAGAGGCCTTGAGGAGAGGTTTCAAATCTGGTTGTATTTACCAGTGAAGAGCTCATGTGTCATAAGATGTCCTGTAGGCTAGAGTGATGGTTGAGGACGGAAGAGGTTGGGTTTATGAACATAGCCTTGAGACAATGAACTCTATCTTGAGCTGTAAAGAATTTCCTTGGCTCATCCAGCTGGAGTCCATTTGGCATGGAGCTTTATCAGAACCAGGTGTGTGTCACTGATGGTGTGTTTCCACTTTATATTCACCTTGCCTTGAGAATAGAACAGAATACGCAGTACTTTTCATCACCTCGTGGGCTACATGGGATCTATTAACCAGGGCACTAAACCTTGTTTGATGTCCCATCGTGTCTCACAGCAGCATTGTTGGTAGCAAAAGTTTCTCATAGGTAGCAAATTTTAAAGTATGTTCCTGTAGCTCATGTCTGCTGAAGTCCCCTGAGTGCTGAAGCATTGTTACAATCCAGGTCCATTTGTTTCAGAGCGCTGCTGGCTGGAGGTGGTTTCTCTACATGGACCTACAGACAAGGTTATGATGTCAGCATCCCAGTTTACAGCCCACTTTCTGCGGATGTTGAGCTGCCTGAGAGACAACCTGGGTGAGCACATATCACACATTAGCTCCTCATGTTATTTGAGTGTCACGTCATGACCAAATTGCAGTCACTTTGCCTAATTCATCCATCAACAACTTCCCCACAGAAAGTGCTCCAAGGGGACATAATAATGTGTGATATTTAGAATGGACTTCTTCTCTAGTCTTGTTTAAACATTCAAAACTATAAAGTTTGACTTGATAATCAGTTGCATATCTCCTGTCTCAATTCCCCCCAGACCACGGCACTATTTTATTCTGTCCTCTCAAACGGCCATCCACCGAGAGTACCGTGCTGAACTGGAGCGCTTGAAGGAAGAAAACGGAGAAGCACTGCTCCTCCTGGACAAGTGTAGCAACCTCTCTCAGGGTGCCGCCTCTGCACGAAAGCGCTGCTACAAGGGTCAGGTGTATGACTACCCACAGATCCTGCAGGTGGGGAGCACGATTAAAATAAAAACTGTTTATGTCAGAGAGTTTCAAGAACATTTCCCAGTAGGTTTGGGAATCACCAGAGGCCCCACGATACAGTATTATTTGCTATTTTTAATATTTTGTGATATGCTGAGTATTGTGATAACATATGTCCTGATTTATTACATTTTTTAACTGCAAATTACAACCCCAAATGAAAACTTTGTCAACATCCATTTAATCTAATGAGATAAAGCTTACAGTTTGTCCTCATTTGGATCTTTTTTTTTTTCTCTGCGGCAAAATGCATCCAGTGGACTGTAAAAGCAATTGATTTGGCTACCAAAATTAAAAATCAATACTATGCTTTATGGATTTTTTCCCCTAACGCTGTGTCCCAATTATCGGTTTGCTTCCAATTTGTCTCCACAGGAGTCTTCATTCTGTGTGGTTTTGCGGGGGGCCCGTTTGGGTCAGGCTGCCCTCAGTGATGTGCTGCAGGCTGGCTGTGTCCCCGTCATCCTCGCTGACTCCTACATTCTGCCATTCTCTGAAGTACTTGACTGGAAAAGGTCAGTCTAAACCACAGAACAGTTGATAAACAAATAAATGTTTTAACAGTCTGCCGTTTTTGGTTCACTAATGTTTGTGTTTCTGCACAGGGCATCGGTGGTTATTCCAGAGGAGAAGCTGTCAGAGATGTACACCATCCTAAAGAGTATTCCTCACAGACAAGTTGAAGAGATGCAGAGACAGGTAACATTCACAGTGTGCTGAAGAGAAAACATCTGTCAGCAAACATTTAGGTACAGTTTGAGAAGTCAGATTGACATGGTGGTCAGAGGCGTTGTCAGTGGGGCTAAAGCACGTCATTTGTAAGATGTGCCTGTACTTTAACCAGCAAACCAAACAAGTGTCTCAAAGCTGAAACAATTTTATGTGACGTGCAAAAGAAGAAATTTGGACACCACCTTTTACTTTTTGTAACTTTGAATTTCCTCCTTTGCTCGGTCTAAATTTCAAAAAGCTTTCACAAGACTAAACTATGTTGATTTAAGCTTAAATGAAATGCACTGAGGACAGCTCACTCTCACTTTCCATTTGGTATCTGCATTGAGCCACAATAAACAAACGTGAAAGCAGCTTAGAGAGAAGTGCAGTAATTCAGCTGCTCCTCGTTCTCTTGTATCAACTCTAGTCCATTTACTAATTATACTAGCCAAACAGACATTTTAGGCCCAGGGCTCAGAGACGGGTTTGGGGTTGGATTACACCAGACAAGCTCAAAAACACAACTTGGTTGTGAGATGGGGGGTTGGGTAGTGGTTTTTCTGCTGTGTATCCCTCACGGCTAACTTGGTAGCGTGGATCTGATATTGTTATCCATTGGTCGCAGTCGTCCTCTGCCTCGTCTGATGGTGTACAGATGGGTTAAATATGTTGCAGGTTAATACTTGTCTGATACATGTCTCTGCAGAACTAATTTTACTATAAATTTAGTGAAACTAATGGTACGCCACGATAATGTTTGTGCCGTTGGTTATCGGTGACCCTCTAAACCCACACAAAGCATCAGTGTGATGTCAGCATATTGCTGATTATTGAAAAACTTTTTTTTTTTTTTTTTTACCCACAGGTAAAAATGGTTGAAGATCGTGGGAACCTAATAGAGATCAAAATGTTCTTCACTGTTTTCTAAAAAATAGATACAATTTAAAATGCTGAGAAAGCAAATAGCTGGCATTTCACTTTATTTTAATACCTCATATTTTGTTCTCACCCTTTAGAAACCAAAGCACACTGCAGGGCAGGGACAGAAATTTAATACTGAATAGAAATTTGATTTAAGTGGATTCAGCACATAACTGCAGTCCAGCTCAACCAGGATATACATAGTGTTGTCAGGGACCATTCAGTGTCTCTTACCTGCAGATATTCTTCACCTATCCTGATGTTAAAGATGGGGTAATTTTAGTCTTTGTGAGAAAACATTTTTTTTGCAGGGTGAGAGCCTGATTTCTTAAAGCAGACACTCTAGAAAAGCTTAGACATTGACTTCTTTTATTTGGTTGAGGTGATGTATTTTATTAGTTTTGCCAGCAGAGGGCTCAGCAGCCTTTCCTTTCACAGTGTGCCTGTCAGTGTTCCCATGTGGTCTGACTCTTGTGCTTCCAGATGTAAAAATAAGAATACATAATGCATTTTTACCACAAAGAAAATAAAATCAACAACTTACAATTTACAAATTTGTGTTTTTAAGGTCTTGTGAATGTAAATTATAGTTACTTTAAGTTGGAGTTTAGTTGGAGGCCAGGGAACTACCTTTGATATCAACATAACAGCTGCATCGAAGAAAATTCATTTGTTGTTTGAGTGATTTTTGTGGGGAGACTAAAAGGCTGATTGACCAAAGCTGATAAACTTAAACATCCCCTCCACTCAAAATGTGCTTTTCTTTTATTTATGTCCCCTAAAATGTCTGACCTTGACCACACTGCCTCGTATCTGTGCAAAGTTTGTTACTTAAGAGGTGTTTCCACATTCTTCAACTGAAGGGGGCGATGTCTGTGCACTTCCCTAAAATCTGAGATTCAAATGTAAGCCGGGTGAGATTACATCACTATACAAAACACAATCACTCCATCCATCCATTTTCAACTGCTTATCCGAAACCGGGTTTTGGGGGGCAGTAGGCTGAGGAAAGTATTCCTCACACAACCCTCTCCCCAGCAACACTTTCCCTGTCTAATATGCTAATGCTGGCAAAGAAACTTGAAACCTCCAGTGCAGAGCAACTTAACAGTACAGAGAGCGATAGTTCTCTACTGACAAAATCAACAAATAAATAGGATGCTAACTATGCTTACCATTCAGATATGTCTTTTAGGTGCCTATTTTGGTGCACATCAGACCCCTCCATCTGAAATTGGGTTTGACTGACACTCAAACATGTATTGTTGAATCTCTGCGATTTTTCCTGTAATGCTGACGCTAGTCATCTTGATGAGCAAACATTGGGAAAGCAGCAATGGTGGGCAGGACGTAAGGCCAGATCAAGAGTTTCTCATTGAAGGAGAAAGAGTGCCTCCACACTATTTTCAGGTTTTTTGTTTGTTTACTTTTTATGCATGAAAACCAAGTTAAACACAATATTAATTATAATATTTTTAAATGCTTTAAAGCTATAGTGCGTAACTTCTGTCGCCTCCCAGCGGATAATGCGTTATTACAACTAATAAGCCGGCGGCACTTCCATGTACACAGAGTAACACTCGCCAGTCACTGTGTACACAAAGTAACACTTGCCTTTGTGGTAGGATCCACTTCTGAACTGTGTCTCGGCCGCTTCTCCGCCATGTTGCTTTCTCTTTCTACCTGCGCTCTACCTCTTGCTATGACACTCTCCGCTCTTCCTCCCCCTCCCTTCTAGTTGTGAGGAAGCATTTCCTGTGTGCCAGCGCGGGAATGTCGCCGGTCGACACACACGCATACTAAAAATGATATATATTGGAAAAATACCGCGAGATGTTAGAGGAGCCGATCGGCTTAATCAACATTGTGTCATCTCCTCTAGTAGTGGCTTGGGTGAAACGGACATTTACGGACCTGTAGAAGTTATGCACTATAGCTTTAAAGCGTGTCTAAAAGAGAAAAACTATCCTCTAATTTGTATTCATTATTTATCAATAGCATCTCTGGCAGATCAAGCGTGTTTTTAATTTGCACAGATGTTGATATTTTTCTCATATTCTCCATAGCAGATTAACATTTACACATTGAGTACAGTTTCGGTTAATCCTGCAGGGACAGAGCATTTGGTTGACTTAAAGATTGAGTCTGCAGTTCAGGAGAGCGAGACTGCTGATATTTGAACTCAGCACCCAAACAAATACACCCCTCCCATCAGTGCTCCTTCAGAGACTCCGGTAATATCTCTGATGTTATTTACCTTTCATTACTATCATGGTCTAGCTCTGTTCCTCGTGAGCAAAGACGTGGAAGAGGGAGCGTTGCCGACATAGTGCTGTGTAGCTCGATCCAAGTCACTTTGTTTGTTCCCATTTACAGAGCCAGGGCTGTGTATGAGCATCAGATTGTCTTTCAGCACACACACAGAAAGCAAGTAGATTGTGAGGCGATATTCGTTGAATTTGATGAAAACTGTTTTGGATTAGAATCGCATTTTCCACCTAGAGCGTGTTTTATTAGAGACAAGGTCAAATTGTGACGGACTACTGTCGAGCTTTCATCGGTAGTCACTAGACTCTGTTCAGACAGCAGAACTAATTTACAAATTTGAGATGATGTAATTGCATCCATTTAGGTCACATTTTGAAAGGCCACATATTAGACAGCTGTGAAATGTTAACAGTGCTCATGTGAGCCCATGTTTGTGTACTGAATTCCATGAGCCTCGTTTGGGTCATACCCTCAAAATAGGACACATACACTACAGACCTCTATTAGATTAACTCAGCCAAATCCATTCTCTTTTTTTTTTAAATTGGAACATATAAGATGGGAGGAGGGATTTGGAAACTTATTCCTCATCCTTTGCTCTTCTTCCGCCTTGGTATTGAGTTTCAATCTGACCACCAGGTTTTTCTTTCAGTCTGTTGAGCCAACTGTCTTCCCAACTTTGTTGTAACCTCCCAGCACTCCATCATGCAGAGCAGTACACTGGCTGCGGCTGATTTATAGAATATGTCACGTTGGTCTACTCTTCTCTCTCGTATATGCTGTCTGCTTTTCTTCAGTTCAGTCTTCTTTTTACGTACATCCCCGTCAGAAAGAACTGAACAGTCAGCTGGGATGATGACAGGTGTCAGTGGCTTCTTGGTCAGTCAAAAATATAATAACAGCTCCTTAATCTTAACAATTGAGAGTTGCGGATTTTATATCCTTGAACTATTAACCGAGGGCCTTGACCAGATTCTTACTTTCTTTCTTTACCTTTTCAAATGCAGAATTTATCAGAAAGTTACTACACTTACAAGTTGAGTATGAAATTGAAAGTATAAACAGTCCTATGGTGTGCAGAAGGTTTAGAGCAATACAAACTAGCGTCACTGTCTGTATTCCAGGAAACAATGAGGCTAACAAGCACCAAGATTGTGCAACTCCACATGAAACCTGCTGCTAAAGCAGTGGTCTTCAGTTACGGTCCCCATGACCCAAAGTTTATATTTAATTTTAGCCATTCCTATAAGGAGTGATTTACACATGGGTTTACCAAGTCGTGTATGTGTGTAGAAATGTTTTGATCACAGTTAAAAGTTAAGTGCTAATAAATCTTGAGCATAACAATATTCCCAGTGAGCAGCTCATATGGTTGAAACGGACGTGGTTTCACCGCTGTTTTTGATTATGTCAAAAACACTAATGATTGCCTGGTTCTGTCCACAGCTCACTGCCTGCCAATTCTGCTCTATAGGTCGAATCATCTGTCAGGCACTTGACAACTTCCTCTGAATTAAGCAAAGTGATGCAGACTACTGTAATGTAAACTGTTTTTGATCGTCTCTTTGACAATTTATTTTAATGATTTCAAACAACAAAGGAGTGGCAGCTGCTGGGGAAGTTTCCAAACTGAAGGAAATGAGAAGATAATTTAGTTTTAACCAAGCATTACATGGGATGCCTGTAAAGTTTGACTTAGAGAGGAATATATCCTGGACCTGACTCTCTTGGGATTGTTTGCATTATTTCTTAATATTTGCAGCAGGTTTATTGTCACAATTTGCATTACACACAATTTTCTTTTTATTGGTGAAATAAATTTTGGTTAGGTCATGAATTAAGTTGGTCATAGTTGCCATATTTGCTGTTACACATCTTTATTAGTTAGTAGAACAAACAGGAACAAAGTATAGACTATGAGCTAGATGTAGCAAATGGAAGATGGAGTAAAGAGTTTCTCTTCCTCTCTTGCAACGCTGTCTCTTCTTCATGCTCATAAAAATTCCTGCAGGCGCTGGGAGAGGGTGGAGGGTGGTGGTATGGGCCTTTGGGCCAGCACAGTTTGCTTTCTGCCTCCCCCCAGTCGGAAAAAGTAACTTTCATCACCGGCTGATTTATGGGCTGTTGGGATTCCCCCCTGAGATTAGAAAGTCTTTTTGGATTCTCCTCTCCCTCTCTATAAAAATAAATGCTGTTTTTGTATTGTTGTACATCTCCAGTGCTTATACTCAGACTTGGGCAATTTAGGCAACGGGCACATGTTCACGTGTCACTACGGATCGTCTTTGTTTGGGGGAAACATTAACCAATAATACACACTGGTGCGTTGCATTAGGAGGAGAAAGAAATTTAGCTCGGTGCTTCACACACAAATACTCACATCCTCGGCTCCAGAGCTGCGGGTCATTGAGGAGCTGGTGGGGTGGAGTCGGGTCAGTGTTACATGGTGCCTCCTGGCAGGAGACAGTGCTGTTTGAAGCTTCATTAACTCTTATAGGGTTCTCTTGCCTCTGAACTGTCCCTTGAAGTTTCTAACTAGAATAGGACCCTGCAGGATCCCTCCTGCAGGAGGCGAGACACATATGTCATGGTCAGTAGCACTACTCTAGATTGATCAATTTATGGTATAAAAACTCTACAGCTGCGACAAACTATCCAAAATAAACAGCAATATACAGGTATTCTTTTTAATCTTTGCAGTGTTGGCTGGAAAAAACTGAGTGAGTAGAGTTGGTATTCCAGCAGCCAAAGTGATAACATTAAGATATGGGTGAAGAGTTCAGTTATCATTAAAGTCTGCTTTTCACATCAGAGATCTGTTAAAGCAAAACAGACACCGTCAAGAGATTTTCAGAGAGCTTCAGAAGAAGAGATGTTAATGGTCAAGAGGCTGGAGGGGGCTGCAAAATTGTCTTTACAGTCTCAGAGCAGGGGTGGAGTTGGGGGGATCTGGATTTTACAGCTATGACTTCACACTGGTGTGAAAAGAATGATAATAAAAGTAAGAAAACAGTTTTTATAAGCAATAACAACATGTCGACAGTTTCATGAAATATGATGTTATTCAAGCTGAGGTCAATTATTATAGTCCACATAAATTATTCTGTTAGTAGCGCTTTCATTAAGGTGACTAATTCTGGAAACAAAAACAGGGTTTTCTTATACCTGTTTTTGTAATGACAGAATTGCCCTTCCTTTATTACATTTTTTTTTCGTCAATTAGTGCAAATATCCAACTCTGTATTGTCTACATCTGTACAGTGAATATCTATGACAGCTGAATTGAAAGAGCATGTTTGATTAATATACATTTTGTTTAATGTATAGTGCAGTGTTGATCATTTAAGCATGTTTTGCATTTCCTGTTTTTGCCAAGTATTTGTTTTTATGGGGACATTTAAAGAAGTCCTTTGCATTCGTCCATAGGCACGCTGGTTCTGGGAGGCCTACTTCAGCTCCATGAAGGCTATTGGCTTGACAACGCTCCAGATCATCAATGACCGCATCTACCCATATGCTGCGCAAACGTACGAGCAGTGGAACAATCCCCCTGTGGTGGTATGTAACTGTGTTGCCTTTATTTTGCTGTGCATTTTGCATGTATTTTGTAATTGTTAGCTATTGAGTAGGACTATATAGAGAGGTGAAATCCCTCCCCATCTGATGTTCCCATGGGAACTTATTTCAGAACAAATATGCATGGTACTCAACGATGAGAGACAAATCAGTTTTATTCTTGTTTAAATTGTGCCATGAATTACACATATGATTTTGTCAGTTTAAAAGATAATTTAGCAAGTCAAGAAAGGTGCCGCTAGTTGTAGGTTTATCATTGTCCTGTTTAGTTTCGTGTGAAACGGTCCAGTGAACTACATCTCATCTCGCACCACATACGTCAACAACACCAGCTCACTAACTAGCTAGGTAACTTAGCTATGTTCCATGCAAGTGTGTATTTTATTCATTGACTCCTGGTCTTGTTATCAGCTGGGAGGTGAAAGAACAAGCAAGACTGTTGCTTGTGAGTATATCCTGGCACCAAACACACAGCCAGCGTAGCTTCAAAACTAAGACATCTCTTGCACAACTCGCATAGTTGTTTTAATTAGGTATTTTTACAGTTTTCTACTTCAACATTTTTACAACAAGCTGCTTCTTTCTTGACTTGCAAAATTTTCTTTTAAGTTGATAAACATCATATGTGTGATTCATGGCAAAATTCAAAAGGGATCAAAACATTATTTGTCTCGCGCGATTAACTACCGTACATATTCTTCCCATCATAAGTTCCCATGGTGGTCCACAGGAAGGGAAGGGAACGGACTTCGTCTTTATATAATTTTTGTGTCCTAACCTTCCATTGTTATCTTTCAGAAGTATCTGATATTTAGTTATATCCCCTCCAGCATACAGCTAATCTATACAGTGTGTGTGCGCGCTCTATTGTGCTGAGCCGCTCGGTTGTATTCTTAGAAGTCTTTATATTGCAGACATCTGAGTGAAACCCATCCAGGATGGAGCATTGACCATACAGACGCTCACAATGCCACATTAGCTTCCCCACTCTCCTGTGCCTTGTAAATCGAAGCCTCTGTGGCAGAGTGACAGTAGATGCCTTCAGTCTCTCTGAAGCGCCACACATGCTGCACTTCACAGTTTGGTATACACCCAGCTAGCTCTGAGGCAGCCAGTTTGTGTCAGCAGTTCTGCACTAGGAGGATGCCTCCGTTGTGGTGAAAAATAAGTTCCTGCATGTCTGAGTCATTGTGTTTGTAGAGAGTACGCTGGATGTGAAGAATGGTGTGTGTGTGTGTGTGTAGCATCCCTGTGGTTGTGGGAGTTTGTGGCTGCAGACAGCTTGGCTGGGCGACCATCTCTCAGGAGTTGTTAATCAGCTCGGTCTGATCTAGAGTCTCCTCCATCCTCAGCCTGTGGGGTAGAGGCGTGCGCATGTGAGCATGCATGTGGATGCATAATGGTGTCTTTGCATCTGTCAGATGTCTGCAAGTATCCCAGTTTAAGTAGATTCACTTAAATGCTAAGATTAGAGAGGTAGCAGTCACAATCAGGTTGCGTTGGTGTAAACAAGCAGCGCTTCGAGGGGTGTTTTCTAATGTTAGTCATTTCACTTCTGCCCAAATCTGTACAGTCATTCATGTCTAATGGACTTACAGTCAAGCAGCTGCTCACTCTCAACCACAGTCAACTGTTTTCCTCTGAGCAGGTAGCGTGTTAATCAGCACTTACACTTGACATTGCCCACTTATGTCATATTGTTTTGTCAGCATGTCCAGCCCCCCGTCCAATCTATCAGTATCACTCAGGTCTTAAGGTTTGTCCAGAGCCAGAGGAGGTTAATTGTGTCAGGGTACAGACCTTTGGCCATTCCTGCCTGAGATGGGAGATGAAGTGTTTTCTCGATGGATTCAGTGAATGGATGGTGAGAAGAACTTGCACACAGCACTAAATAAATCAGGCAAACATCCCCCCCCTCTCCTCCTGTAGTCTTTAGGCTGGTAATTGAAAGCACATTTCCCAGGATTGCTGGTGCCTTTGGAGGGGGGGTGTTCAGAATAAGGGACAAGCGGCTTTTTGTTTTGGAGTTGTAGGTAGTGGGCATACTTACAAGGGTTCTACATTATAAGAATTAAGGCATCTCAGTGATTGGCACCTGAACATATGAAAGTCTTAATTGATCAGTATCTTGTTTCAAAGTTACAGTGCAGTCTGTAAGTATTTGGACATTTTTGTAATGACTCTGTTATATTGCACATTCGATTTGAAATTAAAGAACTGCTATGAGGTTGAAGTTTTGACTTTCAACTTTACATTCTGATTGTGATATTGATTAACCATGTATTATAAAATGTATTAGACATAATCCATGAAGGGTAAAAAAAAAAGGCCCAGGAGCCCCAGACTGTTCACTCTCTGTGGATGCGAATACTTTGAATACCCTGAAAACTAAAAGTCAGCACGTAAACCTCAGAGTCTTTTCTTTTGAAATCCAGTTGGCTGAAATACATCCAAAATAATAATAAAAACACATCACTGTCCTAATACTAATGAATTGTACTGTGTCTAGTGTTGCAACTTTATCGTTTGCATTTATAAAGCAATACAATGGAAGATTAGATTTAGTCTACCACTACTGTGCACATTAGTGTGTAAATGTGTTGTTCAAGTTGAATGAAAAAATGTCTAAAATGTGTTTCACACAGATAAACAGGACGGATAAAAGCTCGTAATCTTTGGCGAAGAACCACTCAAGCAGTTCAAATAGCCAAATAAAACTCTTCTTTTTTCTTTTTTTAGTGAAAGATATAAAGTATAAGGACACATTAACTCCTTCAGATCTGTTGGTGACATGATGAGTCGCGGCTTTCTTTTCATCTAATTTATTTAGTTTGACAAATGACTTAAGTGGTCTCTGCCTCTTTTATACGGTTTAAGTGCATCTGCGCCGCATATATGTGTTAGTTTAATTATTTCCCCCCTCCGCTTGTTTGACAATGTGAGAATGACCACAAGGAAGTTTCCACTTGCCAGTAAAGTGAATTTTTATTGGTGGAGAAGTGACTGATGTTGTGTAAAAGGCAGTGGCTGTGTCTCTGTTGACAGACTTGTGTTGATGCTGTGGAAGGAGCCACATAATCACTGTGTGGCCACCTGGGCACAGAAGAGAAGCAGGGTTTATATGTACTTCAAGAAGCCCACAGATTTACTGGGTTAGATACACTCTCTTTGCCCTTCTCAGACTGATTGTCTCTGTAACCAGGGTGGAACATTTTTGGAGCCTTTGATGGAAGTTTATTAAGAGTGAATCCTGATGCTTCTATATCTGCTAGTGTTAGAGTACCACATGGTTGTAAATGTAAGGTACGGTTTGTCTTTTTATTTCACAACCTTTGAAAAAAAAAAAAAAAAAGTTATTGTTTGCACACAGACTAACACTAGTTGTCTCTGGTTTGATGCCACTGTAATCCAAATGACTGTGACCTTTTAAAGTTTAGTATTTAGTTCACACGTATGATAAGAAAACTCTCCTGTGGCTTCCTTCATTTAACAGTGTCACTTGATCTAAGCTGGAGTCAGTGTGGCTCCCATTTTAAAGGGGAGCAATGAAAGAAAAGCCAAGTTCCACACCGACTGTAGACAGCCACTAGTTGCTGTTCCCATTCCCCCCCCCCCCCCCCCCCCCCCCCCCCCCCCCCCCCCCCCCCCCCCCCCCCCCCCCCCCCCCCCCCCCCCCCCCCCCCCCCCCTTCCTCCTCTCTGTCCCACCTTATTTGTCCCAGAAAAATCCACTATAATAGCATCACAAGATGTATTAGGGTGGCCAGCCTGTCTTCTTTGCAAACTACATCCCAGTCTTTCGTGTCCTTCTGTACTGCTGCTTCTGTTGGGTTTCCTTGGCATTCCAACTGGAAGCTTTTGGCATCCTGTGCTCTGCCTCCGTTAGCCCCCGGGAGACATTATTGGATGATTCTTGCTCCATAATAAAACCCATAATCTGGAAATTACTGCAGGTGACCTCACTGTCCAGTGAAGCACTATTATAGTGCATTAAATCATGGAAAACATGACAGACGGGGTTAACACAGAAGCCAAGAGGCAAGCTCTACAGTATTTTTTCATGGAAATAAAAAAGGATGAATGATAAAGAATTAAAAAAAAAAACGATGTTTGTGGTCTAAACAGTTTGTGTGTTTTTCTTGGTTTCCTGTCTTGTGTAGAAATGGTCCAGTGTCAACAGCCCTCTGTTTTTGCCACTCATCCCACCAAGAGCACCTGGGTTCACAGCAGTGGTGCTGACCTACGATCGTGTTGAGAGTCTGTTCCGGGTCATCACTGAAATCTCCAAAGTGCCTAGCTTGGCTAAGCTGCTGGTGGTGTGGAATAACCAGAACAAGAGTCCTCCTGAGGGTGAGTGTAACAGATTCTCATAAAAAAATAAGGTTCATCAAGCTCTCCAAAAGATATATTTCTATGTAAGTCAAAGATGGGTAAGGGTTTAAAATGTGAAGGAAAAAAAAACAACAAAAAAACATTCAATTTAAGATTTAATTTGATTTAGGGGCCCAATCGTAGCTCATATGGTCGAGCGCATAGTATTAAGGCTCAGTGCTTATCGGGGCAGCCCAGGTTTAATTCCAGCGCGGGCCATTTGCTGCATGTCATCCCCGCTCTACCTCCTGCCGTTCTTGTCTCTCCTAAGCTTTTGCTATGACATAAAGGCAAAATTTAATCTTTAAAAGCTCATCTAGATTTCTTGAGTTTTACCTTTCTACATTTAAAGGTGGTCCTCAAGAAATATGCAATCACTTTTTTTAAATACATGTCAGAGATATTTCATCTTACTAAAATGTCATTCAGTGTAACAATGTTTATCAAACAATGGATTTAATCCAAACTTTTAATAATAAAAACTACTAAGATAAACAGTAGCATTAAATCTGTCCCACTTCTTCTTTTACAGTAGAAACACAAGATTTAAATGATTTTAACGTTTCCCTTCGATTATGTTGTTGTTTTAATCATAACGGCATATTCACTATTGTGATAATAATACAGAACATGACCAACATCTTTCATTTTAATTAGATTGTTATTATTGGCTTTTTACTTAGCTGTTGTTGCATGACACCATTAATTTCTCCTTGCTGGCAACGGGATGTGACTTTGCTCTGTGACGTGCAGCCCTTTCTCTATTAGACAATTGCATTTAGAAGTGCAAAAGTGTTTTAAAAGGACTAAATTTACTTAAAATGAATTAATCAAATGTCAGTGTTGTATTTGTTACCAAAGTAAAAATGCGTTATTTGCCTGAATACTTTTTAATTATCAAATAACACATGACAGAAGACACTGTGGTGTAACAGCACTTTTTTGTTGTACTGAATGCCAATTTTTGTTCTTTAAAGGAATACTTTACCCAGAAAATGATTATTTGTATGTCAATCAGTCATGCCGTGTTTCACTAAAATGTCACTATTTAAACCTGAACTGAAAAATGCATGTTTGTGGTGTTCTCAGCATACGGCTGGATAAATGAGCCTTGGATTATACCGCACACCGAGTTGTGTGAGAGTTTGGGAACGGATGTTTTAATCTAGTTTTGCTGTTGTTGAACGTGTTCCCCAATCAATCATAAATCAATATGTTCACCGTTCTCTGTGTATGCGAGAAAAACAAGTTTTCTTAACAAATTCAAGGTAACACGGCATGACTTATTGATTCTCTGATGGTCATTTTGTGGGTGAAGTATTTCTTTAAACACACTTAACAGGCAAGTATCCGGCCACTGATGTCAAACGATGACCTTGATCTCTAAATTTTAATCGTACTTAATATACAGTGAACAATTTTCAAAGATTTTACACAAATAACACTTTTTATGTGTTGTACTGAATGACATTTTCACATTTTGGAGCTCCAAACTTCCCATAGTTTATAATGGTTCACTGTTAATACATTACTGTATAATCACAAGAGCAAAAGTAGATTAATTTGATTCTGATTTGATGTAGAGATATTTTTAACAACAAAACAATAACCCCCAGACAGAAAATTTACACGTCTGGTCTTTCAGCCATACAGTCTCTGTTTGGGTCTTTCATTACTGTTGATCATTAGATGTATTCCATCATTGATGTGTCATACTATGCTCTTATTATTTGTTATTTATTGCACCTTGCATTGTAATTATTTGCCTTAATATGGCAATTAAGTACACAACAGTTAATCGTGCCTTGCCCCACTGACTGCGTTACTCAGACGAAGACTGTTTCTGGACCAGGAATTAAATCGGTCCTGCTGCTGTAAGAGTTGGCTAATGTAATGAAGTAATGAGACGACTTTGAAGTGCTCCCTCATGGCTGTGAGTTGCCTTTTCATTAGAGGCATCAGCGGCGCCTGGCTGGAGCTTTGTGACCCATTAGAATTAACAAGGGGCCATTGACGGGTCAGACTCATGGGGCTCAGTCCAATATGAAGGCAGATTTCCCCATTTGCACCAGGCCTTGATCTGATGTGTTTACAAGCTCCTATGTTTTTTTGCTTCCGCTTGTCTTTATTTAAGAAGATGCTGACCAGGCGAATTGATGCTTAGTTTCTGTGCTGGTAGATTTGTTTTTATCAAATATACTTGGAAAACACAACAGTGCACAAAATAAGCACAGCACAAAAATACAGTAAGTCGAACCACCGCATTTAACTATTTATTTTAAACATTAAAACTGTGGCTGAAATAAACCAGTTTGATGATCGCATGTGTCTCTGCAATTGAAATCAATCAGCAGTTGTGTACCCGGAAGTGACTGATGTTGTCAGCACAACGTCACAGTGATTCAGTTTGTACAGCAGCCACACAGTCACAATAAATGCAGTAGGCATGTATTAAAGCCATAGCATATCCTATACAGCATGGGATTTTGTTATGTTGGGTATTGAATATAGTTTAGGAAGTCGCAGCAGAATTAACAGTATCTGCATTCTGACCCATATGAAGGTTGGGGTTAAGTTTTAAAATTCAGATAATAGCCCATAATTCCCTCACTCCTACTGTCTTTTTCCAACCCTGGAATTAAAAGAAGGGATGACAGCAACATGGACAGAGTGAAAGCAGAAACTCCGGGCATTTAACATAGCAGTTTTCCTGACAATAGCTTTTGACAGGAGACCTCAGACGTGGTTAGGAGGTCCTGGAGCTCGTCTCATAGGCTGCCAGGCCCCAGTTAGCCCATTAATGAGGGGACACATTCTGTGTGATCTGTCTGTGCCATAGTCCGTGCCATGGACACTGCCCAAGATCTTTGAAATGCTGCCCTGAAAAAACACTTTGTAGATCTGCCTCATGAAGAATCGCCATGTGGTTAGTTTTGCACGTGCTTGAGGTTGACGTAGTGATACGAGTCAGTGAGTGAAGTTAAACTCCCAGAGCACTGTTTTCCACTGGCAGGACAGAGCTTCAAATATCTCTGTCAGTGGTAAATGACATTATAATTCCTCACCCATCTTCAGACACTGACAATGGCCATATTTATCTTTTTTTTCAAACCCTAAGAATATATTATTGTCTCACATACTGTATGTACTTAATAAACTTAATTATTCAGACCAACAGCCTAAAAATGTAAGTCATTTTGCTGTGTTATAAGAAAAATATAGACAGGAAATCCCCATATTTGAGAAGCTTGAACCACCAAATTTGCTTATATTTGCTTGGAAATTCTTTAAACCTTTATTTTGTTATCAGCATTATTGACAATTAATGTTCTGTGAACCTATTAATTGACTGCATTGTTTTAGCTCTGTATCTCTGTGATTAAAACCAGGATTGTGGTTGCTATGATTTTAATGTTTTCCTCCTGGCAGAGTCTCTTTGGCCAAAGATTGGTGTTCCTCTCAAAGTCGTGCGAACTAAAGAAAACAAGCTGAGTAACCGCTTCTTCCCCTACGACGAGATCGAGACAGAAGCCGTGCTAGCCATCGATGACGACATCATCATGCTGACATCTGATGAACTGCAGTTTGGCTACGAGGTGAGAAAAAGACCCCTATTTAATAAAAAAAAAAACCCTTAACATTGACCACGCTTTCCCATCTTTCCTCTGATGGCACGTATTGCAGGGAATCATTTCAAGTTGATCCCAGAGTTTAAAGTCATTCAGGGAGATTACAGTCTCATTCTACACTGGTTGGGGATTTGACCGCCTCGCTGGATGTGTTTGATGTGTGAGGAATGATGACAGGTCTGGAGCTGATGCTTTCCATGCCCACATACCTGCCAGGCCCCACTTAGCCCAGCAAACTCACCTGAATCCATTTAGACGGCATTTAATAAAATTGTGCTCAGTTTAAGGATAATTACATGGAATTACAGGCAGGATAGAGGAGCTGTCCGTATGACCAGATGATCAGACTGGCTGCTGGTGCAAAGCCTGAGATATCCTGCCAGTCATAAAGCTACTACTATTTTAAAATATTTCAATTTGAATCTCAGTTGTGATTGTGATGTTTCACTCTGACAAAAAATTATGAGATATTTTGAAACCTAAAACTAAACGTTTAATTCTTAAACTCTCTTTTAAATAAACCTCATAATCATTCATCTTTTAGTGTAAACCATCAGTTCAGTTCACCTGAAAATGTGTTTGACAATCCATTTCCTGTCCTGCTCCAGGTATGGAGGGAGTTCCCAGACAGGCTGGTGGGCTACCCTGGCCGGCTGCACCTCTGGGACCATGAAATGGGGAAGTGGAAGTACGAGTCGGAGTGGACCAACGAGGTCTCCATGGTCCTAACTGGAGCCGCCTTCTACCACAAGGTAACCTGGGAAAAGCCTGATATTAAGTGGTTTTGGCTGCTTGAGCTCTGCCTCTGCCTCTTCCTCTGTCAAACACGTTTCCCTCAGAGCTGCTCATGGATGTTAGGACTTTTGCGTAGTAATGATGCACACAGAATCAATTTTGGAAAGGAAATTGACCATTATATGTGGAAATCAAATAAAGAATGAAGTTTGCAGAAAGGATTTGAGAATTTCCTGTAGACATCTGTTTTTTTGTATGTGTGGGATTTCAGACGGGAAGATTACGGTGATAGACGAGCAGTGTGTCATAGGTAGAGCAAGGTTATCTCACTTCTACTTAAAAGCTCACATGCTCACTTAAGTTCAAGGGAATTCTAGTGCAGTGCTTCCTCCTACATACTCTTGGGTCACCGTGTCAAGCAGTGTCTGCATTATTGTACATAATGACTGCAGTATATCTATATCACACCTAGTAATCAGTTGTTGTTGTGGATTTGTTTCCATTCCAGTACTTCAACTATCTGTATACATATAAGATGCCTGGAGACATCAAGAACTGGGTGGACGCTCACATGAACTGTGAAGATATTGCCATGAACTTCCTGGTGGCGAACATCACAGGCAAAGCCCCCATAAAGGTACGTCCATAGCTCTGACTGTTCTGGATGCTTTTAGCTTGCAGGGGGAGGCTGAAGCCTGACATAGCGGACCAGCATCTCTGGGTTTGATCAGATCTCACCCTTCGACTTCACCGCCTCTCCCCCTCTCCATCACACTGACTGTGCCCAGGTGCAGGGGCCTGAGCTAAAGCCCAGTCTTAACCTCTCTTATCTGGGTGTCACTCAATGGCACTCCCCCTCTGAGTATGTTTTCCTAAGCTCACCGGGGCTCACGCACACCCTGCCATCAAATCGCAAGCCGCACACTTCCCTTCACCTTCGCCCGCACTCCCACCTCCCACCATATCTCCATCAGGTTCCTTCAGAAAACACCCACCCATTCTGTCTTCCTTTCTCTGTGTCTCTCACTTTCTTCTACACACACATACATTCACAGGTTCAGAGCGTTTGGTGCAGGCATGTGTCAGGGGTGTAGATGTGATGGAGTTTAGACAGAGGAAGGCCATACATCATTACTCTCCAACTCTGCTGATGAGAGCTGAGAATTTTTTTCCACATACTGTGCTTTACAGAAGTTCTTGTCGGATGTCACAGAGTTATTTCATCAGACTGGACAGTTTATTAGCGTCTGTCTGGGCTGCTCACATTTAACAAAAAGTTAAAGTGAACTGACGTTATTGGTGTGACTTTGTTCTGCGTCTGTTCAGGTGACCCCCAGGAAGAAGTTCAAGTGCCCTGAGTGTACTGCCATTGACGGACTGTCCCTGGATCAGACACACATGGTGGAGAGGTACGGCACTTTGTTTTGGAGTGGTGGACTAAATGAGCACAGTAGAATCTTGTCTTTTTTTATAGTGTGTGGGTGTGTCTGTATCTGTGTATCTGTGTGTCTGTGTGTGTGCGTATATAAACTTCAACTTGAAATCTCTTGTTTCTCTGTTGTTGCATTTTTGCATGCACGTCTTATACCTAGCTCATTACTGTGGCTTGGTATTGTGCAGACTTTCCAGTAGTAGAATACTTTTATAGCTATTTATTTATTTTTATTTTATTACTATTTTTGGAAATTCATTTTTAACCTTTTAACCATCGAAATCACATTTAAATATGGTATACAAAAATCTGTGCAAAAAATGGTTTTCAAAAATACCATTTGTTGCATCCTTACTGTAAATTAAGAGTCTGTTCTTGGATTCTGGTGCATCACCAACAGCAGGGCATCTTGCAATTTTTCCCAAATATTTTATTCACTTCTTATGGAGGCATTTTCTGCTCATTGTAAGACAACCATGCGTAAAGTAAAAGTGTCTTGTTGCAGCAGGAAACACCACAGTCTTTGCACAGTGACGAAAGTTTGGGTGAAATTCAGTTTTTTATAATCTGTTCCTTTTTTTTATCAGTAAAAACAATAAAAAAAAATATTTATTTTACAATTACCTCTTTAAAATTAGACACACTCATTTATTTGAAGTCAGAGATATTTTGCACACATGCAAATTCTGTGAGCTGTGCCAAAATACACACACAAGATCAGTGGCTGGATATCTGAACATAGATACATTTTAGATATTAAAAACTTATTTGAGGAAGACAGGCACTTTACAATAATTTAAGAGAGAAAATGATGGAGAAAGAAGGAGAGACAGACAGAGAGAGAAAGAAAGAAGGAAACGAAAGAAAGAAAGAAAGAAGGCAAGGAAAAGAAAGAAAGGGAAAGTCAGAATGAAGGAGAAATAAAGAAGGTAAAATCCACATCCATATATAACATTTTCAAACATTACTAACCACAAAAATAAACACATGCCTGCTTTTAAATTAAATCCGTTGTGTTTTCGTACCCAGATCTGAGTGCATCAACAAGTTTGCATCAGTTTTTGGTACGATGCCTCTGAAGGTGGTGGAACACCGTGCAGACCCAGTGCTTTATAAGGACGACTTCCCAGAGAAGCTCAAGAGCTTTCCCAACATCGGCAGCCTCTGACCAGCCTGTGACAGATGTTTGGACCCAGTCACAGCCTCAAAACTTCAACATTTGTCACCGACATCGTTTTTTTTCAGGACATCAGTATTCAGACATAAAGTGGTACACGCTCCTGACACCTCTCAGTTCAAATGACTGTCACTTTGATTTTTAGATTGAATTGAAAAGGCAGAATTGTACGGGACGTTAAGTTAATATCTTGACTGACAGGAGACACTGGATTCTGGGGATGGTGATGAGAGTGACGTGCTTATTTGGCTTAAAGTGAAAGATATTATCTAACATTTACCAATACAAACGCACAGACCGCTGTTACATGAACTGCTATTGGAGGGTCCCCCCTGAGGCTGATGTCTGATGGACAGGCTGACTTACTGGAGACTTGTGGTCCTTCACTGTTACTGTCTTGGAACTGGAAACTTGAGGCTCCAGCTGCTCTGGAATCAGCGTATACAGTGTATATATTTGTATTTTTGCAGCAGTGCTGTATAGTAGTCATAATTTATGATGTTCCAAGTAGAATTTCTTTTTTTCTTCTTTCAAAAGCAGACATGGACCTGATTCTTTTAGCCGTACTGTATTAAAAGAAAAAGTAATAAATGTCTAACTTACATGATATATATTCAGGAAATATAGGCTACGTAGGCTTTATCTAATGGTTAATTGAATGTGATAACACACAGCACAGTGGCTAACAGATGATGTACAGTCGATGTTTCACATGCTTTTTGTTTTAATCAGATTGGACAAAGCTGGTACCATAAATCTAATATTTAGAGTGAGTAACTGCTGATTTTAAAAGACATGCTGAGCTGCTGGAACATCTTGAATTGTAATTTTATACTGCCTGTGCAAACCTTTATTTTTATATATATATATATATATATATAAAGAAAAGAGATGCTAATTTAAGCAGCCATTAAGCCATTTCATGAGCTGAGTTACGTGTGTGAACGCTACATAAGCACAATCACTTGCCAAGCATTCAAAGACGCATTCTGTATAGTGAATAATAGATAATTCCCAAATCCACACTTTTCCAAACTGATGTGTATAAACTGTTGACGCAATGCTTTGTTTTTATTTTTCCATTATAGCCGTATTTCGTGTGTTTATATTTTCGTCCTTTTCATCCCTAGTTGTCCCAGCTCCAGTGTTCAGGCCATAAAACTGAGAGTGGTGCAGCCTTTAAGACACTGACATTGCTTTGTGACATTTTTATTTGCTTTTTTTTTTTTTTTTTACTATTAATTCCATAAGGTCAGTGAAATTGTTTTAAATTTTTTGACTGAGTTTATATATCTACATGTGTGTGTGTATATATATATATATATATATGACTTTGTAATACATGATAAGTAAAAAAAAACCCACGTATATGTCTCAGTACTCTTTTCTCCATCTTTGTGCGACTGAGGCGGGAAGAAGATGAAGTAAGACATTTTCCTTCCTTTTTTCACGTCTGTCTTTACTCCACTCTGTGACCGTCCAGACCCTCCGTGACTCGGACGATCCACTGTTCCCTCCAGCCCGTCACCTGTTGTTAATATACGCCGCCTAATCCACCCTGTTCAATGTCAGCAGTTCAAAAGGGCGCAGTCCGTATTTTTGTCAGCTTCAATTAGTGTGATACTCTTGCGGGTTGTGCGATCTCATTTCAGCACTCGTGTCCCTTCAAAGGCACTGAATTGCGTGGGGATTTCAGAATGTGACTACAGGGATGACACAATATTTTGGCAGGGTGGTGCAATGCAATAAGACACTGCAAATTCATTGGATTTTTAACAACAGCAGACGTCGTATTCGCAAGCTGTGGCCAACCGCTATCTTTATTGATGATGACTTCAAACGCTTTTCTTCAGACTGAGAGTGACTTAAATAATCTCTCGATACTAACAGGAGAATGGTTGAGTTTCTTCCATGCTTCTATGCTTTGTTAACAGCTAGAGCAAACCGCCATCACCATTACCTTTTACCCTCTATCTTCTTTTGCTGTTTAAACCTTGTTACCAGGTTACATTGTCATGAAATCAGAAACTGTTGTCCAGGCCTGAAAATGGTTTGGAATTTGTTTGTTTTGGAAAAGTTTTGTAGAAACATTGTCTTGGCTTTTGTTTAAAATGTGTTCATAAAAATCCCAAAACATATCTAATCTTATGGGAAATATATTTCTTGTATTAGCGATTTAAAAATAATTTAGTTCTGCACTGTGTAGCCATTAAAATGCCATTAGTATCTCTTGATACACATAGGCATACGCAGCTAGTTGGTGGCGGGAATGTCTAACGAGCAAGTGAAGTTAGCAAGCGCTAGCAGTTTATTTATCTGCAAATGCCTGGGAAGTGTGTGTTAAATTATGTTTGGCTTTCAAACAATAAATAAACTGCATGGCCAGACCCTATTGGCGCTGGATGTAGGCTCTGCACCAAAACATTTGACGTTGGCAACATGACAGAAAGCAGCTCTGTTCGGCCATGCTAAAGGGAAAAAGCACTGAGACAACCAAAAAGGCCGCTCAACAGACTGCCAGCGTCAGCACGTATTTCATGCCTGCCGTAGCCGAGCCAGATAACCTTACCACTTTGTATCTGTTTGTGTAGACATGAAGGCATTTCACTCCATATTCCATGCTACGTTTTTGCTACAATGCCTTTCATAGGGCATAACACACTCGAGTAAGAGCGTCATTATTGTGCCTATTATAAATTACTTCAAGTCATTGAAATGGGGTAAAACTATGGAAAAGTTAGGGATAGGTTTTGGAAACTAATTGGTAAATATGTGTAAAGCATGTACCACATTTCACAAAAATTAAATACTGATTCTGAATAGAAGTGCAATAACTTATTGTACTTTAATCACACACAAAACTTAACACAAGCATGAGTAAATTCATACACTCATTTCAAAAGACAGCTTAAAGCCACAAAACTTGGAGCAAAAAAACAAAAAGAAGAATTACATATCAAGAGGAAAAACAATGTTCAAACACAACTCTGGAAAAACCATTTTACCACCAAATGAAAAAAAGTGTTAACACTCAAATACTCGATAAACTGTCTCACAAAATAAAACAACATCTAATTAATAACGCTTCCAAGAGTCTTATAACACTTCAATCCACTTTGCATGCACAAAAATGTACATGCACACAACAGCACACATATTTTATCATATATTTACTCTTATACTGATTGCCTGACTTCAGTAGTATTAGAAAATGAGAAAAGTGGATGATGACTTCATCGCACAGGGATGGAGTTATGCAGCATACAGGAGGCAGAGGCTTTTTATGTAACATTGCATTAACAGTCCGTATGTGATTGTAGGACAGGTAGATTGATAGTGTTTGTGGTTCGTAGTGTCAGAAGACCTCACTGGAGATGTGTCAGTCCATGAATAATGAAGCTTAAATACACAGAAGAGTGAAACCAGTATGTGTTGTGTAAACCTGAGCTACCGAATGCCAGTATGTCTGCGCGCACTGTGCAGAGGAACGGTCTACGTTAAACCAACCAGAAAACAGACGGCCGTGTCTGTCCTGACACACAATACCGTAGTCCACTGCCTCCACATGGCTCAGTGTTAATTAAAAAGCCTTCCTGGGTTGGCCGTGCGGCTGTGCCTCGGACCCTGCGAAACGGGGGGCTGCAGCTTTGAGCCAGTGGACGTTAGTGGAAGTGAGCAAAGGGAGAGGCATAGAGCAATGTGTGTATTGAGGAGGGGGGAGAATCTTTGAAAGCAGAGCCATGACAGCTGAGGGGGAAGCATGTGTGAGGCATGTTTGTTTTGCATTTACCCCCTGAGCGCAGCTGTGTGCACTGTCCTTTTCCCAGAACACCGGAACACAGCAGACGCCCTCGCGGCTCGCCCTCCGTCCAACCCCGCAGCTCGAGCACAGGGGGCCCCCATGTCCATATTTGCAAGGAGACCCTCTCAGTTTAAGTCAGAGATATGTACTTTACATTTAGGACTGTGCATATGCCTTGGATTTTGGGTCGGAGAGTAGAACTGGATGTAATTTTGGAGGACTCTGGGGTGATCTGCTGTGCTGACAGGTTACAGCCTGCACCCTGCTTCTCGTACCTGCCCAGAAGGACAGTGAATGTGGTTCAGTTTAGAGAATTAGCAATGGTTCTGCTCAGCCTGAAGGTGTACTACGAGGTATCAGGTTTGCTTGAAACCCTTTTTTCCACTTAGATCAGGCCATGCAAACAACAGAGGAAAAATCATAACCTCATTAGTGAACTTCATCTGCTATTGAGCTGGAGGGGGGAGCTAACAGAGGACAAAAAAAGTTTACTATTTGAATATTTGAATGATATGAGGGTATGGATATGATTTGGGCTCAGAGAGATGGGGCTCATCTCTGGCTGGCCCCCTCCTCTTTTCTTTCCACAGAGAAACAAACACATATTGTTCCAAGCCTATTGAAGTAAACAGCAAGTAAAGGCTGTAACCAGAGTGGATTCCTTACGATGCTTTATCCTGACACGTTAGTGGTTTTACCGAAACAGGTCCTGCTCAGATATCATGCCAAAAACCAACGAGGCTGGGCTCAAACTTCACACTTGATCCCCCGTACTCAAGCCTTGGGACGGTACAGAGTCAATAGGGATGGGGATTTTAAGTAATTTCTATTTTCGAGTACTTGCGTCAAATTATTAAGCATTGGAGTACTGTGAAAGAAAAACATAGGGTTAGGGTTAGCCTACCTTTCTGCGCTGTATAGACTGTAGAGAATAGCTGTGATACGCAAATTTAACATTACATAGCTTGCACTGCACATTGATTTTGTTTATTTTGTTGAAATACTTTCAGAGATTACTCTTATGCCTGGTCAACATTCTGCCTGTAACGTCAGCTCAAGGGATGTCAGACTAAAAATATTCAACGTTATCTGCGGTTATCTACAATTTCTTCTGTTTGGATCCGTGCAGATATTCATAGATAGCAAATACTTCACTACATCCTGCCAAAAAAATGTAAACCTTAAATAAAGAAGAGGTTCAATTTACGTTTATATTTATATTTTCTTTTATAAGAATAGCGAGAAAAAAAAATGCTTACGTTATACGTTGAACAAATACTTAGGTCCAAATCGAGTACTCGTGCCGATCCCCAGTAGTCATTGTGTGTTCTTCTACTCTACGCAGTTTTATCTGTGACCGAGGCTGCATTAACATATTTGGGGTTAACATTAGCTGTCTGTTGCGTCCAATTTCCCCTTAAAGACAGATTTGATTGAAGATGATTTGAATTACAGTTATCTGATTAAACACCACTTTATTTAGGATTATACACCATGCGAGCATGATATAAATTAAATAATTAAGATTTTAGACATAGATTTTGACACACGGCCCCTTTACAAGATAAGGCCAGAAGATTACATAATAGTTCAGGATCCAGTCGTTATTGCACTATAGTGGTGCAAAACCACAAATTAGCAGTTAATCCAATCACCCAAAAGCAACTAGCATTTGGTGAATGTGGGAGTTTGGGGCCCTATGTCAGTCACTCATTGAGCATGGTTGATGATTAGCATGTCAGCTGTAGCAACGTTCCAATAGAAATCACCTTGACTCTCACTGCTGCCTTAAAATTGAATAACAGAGATATGTTAGATGTGTTTGTGATGAACAGAAGCATGTTTTGTTTGTCGTAAAATAGGACTTCTGAATATGGAGGATGAAGCGGATTTTTATTTTGAGTCATCCAATGTGCAACATCCAACTGAGATGTTGCTGAAACTTTACTGAAGACGATAGCGGTTGTACTCTGTGTTAATCTGGTTGATGCCTTCTTTTGAGCAGTTTGTCAGATATTATGACATGTTTAAGTCCAGAGAAGGCTGTTGAACACTGACATCCATTCAGTGTCTGAAAGTGTCAACACACACTGTGTAATTTCCACCAGCCTCCTCTGTTTCAAAGGTGGCTGCTGCTGGTTTTCGCTGTTATTTCTGGCAGAATGACTGACTAGTAGGCACTTCTCCCTCTGAAACTCCTGAGACTGGAAATGCAAAGGGGCACAGTCATGTCCACTTGGAGTCTGTCCTCCTGAAAACAGAGCTGGCTCTGTTTTGGAGGCTGGCGCTCCCAGGCTCTTCAGCCCTGAGAGCAGCAGGCCTGCTGTGCCCCTCTCATACTCCCACATACCACTTCCTCCTCCATCCCTTCCTCTCTCTGGCCATCAGCAGGCTGAGTCAGTGCGGCAGGTGGATCTCTCACCCTGACCACACTAAAACAAACCACATTTCATCTCTTTGACTTTTAAATGCTAGAGATTAGAGCCACTTTTAACTTTTTTTAGGAACTGAAATGTTTGCATTGAATCCGAGAAGCTTCATAATGTGACAGATATGCTGGATATAAACAGTTTTCTGTAGCACTATCATAACAGTGTGACTGAAGGTGCACACATCTGCATGTGCTAACGCTGAAAAAGATTGCCTTAGAATAATATGTACATGGCATATAACAACTAAATTATAATTTCAGTTTTTTAAGGATGCTTGCTGAACTATTTTTCAAATGAAAACCAGTAACGAAACAACTGGAGGCAAAAATAACAAAACAATAACAGTCAAAATTTAAATAATAAGGTAAGAATAAAACAGCACCTGAACAGAGAACTACAATGACGCCGAAAGCACTGTACAAACAGAATCTCCTGTAATTTAGCAAATAAGTGCATGGATTTGTTTGAAATCATTTTCTTTCGCCTATCATCTGAACTACACTGCAACTCCTGTTATACAGTACAGCATCACCTCTCACCAGGCTTCCCACAAAGCTCCTCGCCCACTCTGAGGGGTTGAGAAACATGGCAGTGCCACGCCACTTATCTGGACAAATCTCTTGTTGTTCTCTCTTGGAGTAATCTTCACCCATCCGTGTATTTGCATAATTATTTTATTGCAACATTTATGAAGGTAGTCACTGTTGCCTCTAGAGTTTTTCATCATAGTGCCCCCTCACCCCATGCTGGGTTTGTATGGACATTTCAGGGGTCAACAAGGTCCCCTATCCAGCGGGTATCAACACATCATGTGGCCCAGGATATGGCTGCACTGTGCTCTTTGGCCTTCATGCGCAAAGCGGCAATACTGGAGGACTTGCGGTCAGGATCCATGTTCAGATCGTACGTGTTGATGCCTGTAGCCATGCCAGGAGGTCCTCCAAACAGGCTGCCCATGTGAGCCTGTCCCACGTGACCTCCGGGGCTTGGGACACCCAGAAAATCAGACATCCCGCTGGCAGAGTGGGGGTGAGGTGTCATACAGGGGGTCACAGTGTCGCAGGGCACAACGCAGCCCGGCACGGGAGATGCTGCGCTGCCGCCACCGATCCAAGAGGGGTTCTGAATCTGAAATATTGATGGGAAATCAACACTGTTAAAGAGTGACCCAACGGTGTCATCAAACCCAGCAAAGACTCCAGGAAGTTGCTGTGCCCCGCTAAAAAAAAGTCCCAGCACAGAACTTCAGAAAAAGAGACATAGAGTCTTTTTTTTAACACTTTGTTTTTTGTATGAATTAGACAAACAAGGGATAACATGTGAGCTTCAGAGGTATTCATGGGCAGACTTTGTTACCTTTGAACAGAGCCCCAGTTTCAAGTCTTTATGCTAAGCTAAGCTAGCTTCTTGCTTGCTCTATTCATTCTGTACCTGTGCGTAGTTCTCAGGACGCGTCAGAAGAGGCAGCTCGTAGGCTGTTGAGAAGTGTGTCCGGACCTGCTGCATCTGACCAAAACGTTCTCTTTTCCTCCATTTTGCCCTTCGATTTTGAAACCACACCTGCAGAGAGAAAATGTCTGAGTGTCATAAAACTTGTGAGTTTTTTTTTTCTGAGAGAACAAGGGATCTTTACTTTCATCTAGCAAAGTATCCAGTGTTGTTCTTTGGTCAAGTCAAAGTGAGGTTTAAGATTCAAAAACGGGAGGAGTGAAGTGACTTGTACAGCTAAAATCTGAAGGAAATACTTTTCTATAGATACAAATCTAAGTTTCCCTTTAAGATGATCTGCAAGACGACTGAATGGCTACAAACCAAAAACGATATCTGCAGTACATCAAACTTAAGTGTGCACTTGGAGTGCACAGGTGTGGACACAATTCAGAGGCAGTGGACATAATGTAGATGTAAGTCTGTGTAGGCAGAGCTGACAGAGCAAAGAAACTGAAAAACTGTTTTAAAAAAAGAAAAGAAAATAGCGGTTGTACACAGTGTGCTGCAACCTTCACTCCTTTGAGGTCCTCAACACCAAACGTAAACACATCTCGTCCCTATCACCTTTGCTTATTTGTTGTCTGTCAAGAGTGGGCCTTTTTCTCCTGACTAGTGTTTCCTATAATCATCTCTGACATTTAAATCTGACACTGTTGTTTATTGAGAGCGTTATTGTGTTTGAGTTACCTTCAGAGTGTGTGGAAGTGAACTAAATACTCTCTGATGGGCTTTAAACCTGACATGCTTTCCTTCAGATGTCAGAATGCAAAGGTTTGTTATACAGCTCTCCACTATCTGATTGTTTCTCCCTGAACGGACTGATTATTGCACAAATTTAGCAACACAAACTTTTCCTGTCTGATTCTTCCCTGATATGATTTCTCTTATTTCATGTATCCGCTCTTTGCTCATAAATCTAAGGAGGCAATATGGGAAATTGAAAAGTGAGATGGGATTATAACTGTGGTTTGTTTGCATTTTCCTTTTTAATTTCCTGAGGCTGAAAGCTCCTGGCTTTGAGATGCTGTCTCCTCCTAAATTAAAGAAGCACACAGACTGGAGGATGTAATCCTTCTCTCCTTGATTTCATACATCTTCCTCTGCACTGTCTTACCCCATACACCATCGCTGTGTTTCTCTAAATAAATATTGCGCCATGATTATTATACATTAAACTATATTTGTAAGTTATCTCTACAGTGTGACCGGCAGCTCTCATCTGCTCACTGCTTTGTGCCGAGTCTGTTGGCTATTATACAGGGAGAACATATTTTTGTGTTGCACTCTCTACGTCGTGACAGTAATTGGTAAAGACCATGACAGCTTAAGTAGCTGGTGGACTTTCAATGAGGCTTTATTTATGTTACAGCCCCAGAGAGAAAGAGCAGAGAAATGCCAAACTGGCCCCAGCAGGAGAGCTGTATGGGTCTGAAAATACTTTGAAGTGAGAGACCAGCTCAGAGGATTGATAACCCGCCTCTGCTGTCACTCATGTCAGCTTCCATACCAAAGTAGAAAAGAAATCCAAGGCTGAGTCTGGCTTCGGTTTTCCAACACCCCCCAAAGCACTAATAATATCATGGAAACACCTCTGACCGGTGTTGTTGTTCATTAAATGTAAGTTTGTTCTATTCTCCCCCAAATCCTCCTTCACAATTTCTTATTTCCCTTGTCAATTAAAAGTAAGTGCAGGAAAAGAGTGGAGAGATACAAACAGATAAATACGATGCAATTTAAATGTAATTGTCCTTGCTAATTGGTGATATGTTAACTCTACCACTGTTGTCTTTTGTGTTGGTTCATGGAAGTTTTTGATAGAACGTCAAGACCTGTTAACAGTCCAAATATGCATTTAATCTCAATCCTTTATGAATTAAGTTATTTAATAAATTAGTTTCTTGATTATTTGATTAGTCTATCAAATGTCTGAACCATAGTTAGGGTGACATTGCCAAACTACTCATTTGGTCGTTACAGTAAAACCTCACCTCAGTGAATTGGCAACTTCGCAAGTTTTGATGGAAATAAGCCCACTACAATGGTTGCAGTGGCAATAGTACACATAAAAATGGCCGCCACTCTGACCACACTGCTATATTGATTTGAATGGGAATGTATGTTCCACTCTCATTTTATTTTTATGTTCAAACACACGATAGCAGTGTCCAAAAGCCTAAGTTATGCCTTCATGGAAATAACAGTTCAAAACTGAAAATGTTCTGTGTCGTATCATAAATAATAGCAGTATATCCTCACAATTAAGAAGCTGAAACCAGTTCATTGATTGTTCAATAAACCAACTAATTTAATGCCTAAATCTGATGAAGGGATTTGGGAGCTGCTGTAGAATAGTAAAATACTAAAGCATATATTCAGCTGTTTTATAAAAATGGTCCTTATCTCCTTTACTCCTTTATCTGCAAGTTGGACCGACTCTGTCGTTGAAGGAACCATCATCTTCTTCCCAACTGGTCAAATCAGGTTTCATGTCCCGTTAACTATTTGGATCTATAAACCCATACGGACACCTGTGTTTGCCCGCTGAACTCCACCTCAGATGCCATCTCAGCTCTCTGAGCTGTCTAGGCCAACAGAATAGCAAATCTGAGAAATGTGATGTTGTTGAAACCCCGACCCTTGACCCCTGACCTTCCCATGTATCTGTGGTGCATATGACTCTGATCTGAACTTACTTTCTCCCTTTGAAACCCAGAGACTGAAAAAGCAAACAACTCCAGACCCTTTTCAACCGAAAGTCCCTTGTCTTTTTTGCATGAGAACTGTCAGACAATGAGGTGTAATATATCAGCCTCGTCAGAATGATACTCACATACTTTAGCCATTTTTTAGTATTTAAACAAAAATGCTTGTTAAAGTAAACTTTCTTAGCAGCAGTTAAGTTTTCCTCTTAACATTTCTCTCACTCCAGACGCAGAATTCATGAGCTGTGAGTCCTTATGCGTGTGAATGACTTGAATAGAGTACAGAACCCTGTTCTCTGACTGACTAGGCATCTCGTGTCTTTTATCTTTTTTAACTTGAGTGTTTAAGAGGGCCGCTGGGAGAGCCGAGGGCTGTAAAGCTGCATCCATCTGAAGCCGGCAGGTCTGTGATAGTATGAGCAGCAGAGCAGAGCAGAGCGGCATACCTTCAGAGCCTCGGGGTTGAGTTATAACCCCGCGGCTGCACAGACTTCCTGTGTTTCACTGCGAAAGCCTTTTCTGGTCACTGTTATAGCTTGTCATGTAAAAGATTGCTTTTAATCGAGGTCTTATCTCTTCTCTCAGTGGCACATAAGGAAAATGTGGCCAAAATATTGTATCTTTCTATTAGCTTTAGCAAAAACTGGAATAAATTATATGCCTAAAAGTTGCTCAAAATGCAGATATGACTTGAAATATCTATGCTAACTTGCTCAAAGCTCATGGGAAGGGTTTCACACCTACCCTGGCCACCACAGCAGGGACACATTCTTGTCTGGATGTTAATGAAAGAAAAACACAGAAAATCCAGGGGCTTTGGCAGTCCAAAGTGCACACATACACACACACAAAAACACACACACATGAACAGAAATGGTGGAGGTCTCTCCCTCTGTTCACCAGCATTGGAATGCATCACAGCAGTCATGACCGGATTGTATGTAAATCAGGCCAGAAGGTCACTGGAAGGGTTTCAGTCAGAGAGGTGCTGTACGCCTCAGGCTCGGCTAATACCGGCAGAACTGAACTCACAAATTCAGGAAACCAAAACAGCTCAGGTACAAAGAGAAAGGGCCACTCGGGCCACTCAGACCCCGTCAACACACGGCAGAGTCAAACAAGTCTCCTCGTATGCTGATGAAAGTCTGTTCTCCTAAAACTGCACATATGAGGCCCAGGCAGCTCCAACCTCAGCCCCATGGGCCCCCTGGCCTCTGTTAGCTCCCACTCCCCCACTCTCTCTCCCCGCGACTCCCACATTACCAGATAAATCTCTCATGTTGTTCAGTGAGTGACGTTATCTCTGCAGAGCTGCAGATGTTGAAGGATCCATGAGGTTGTGTTGTTAAAACATCCTCTCTTCTGCTGTGATGAAGAGCTGTTTTTACTTTTACATGTTGTTCCATGAAGTCGTTGCCAAGGTTATACAACTACTGTCAATTGTAACTCTCTTTATTAACCTCAAGTTTATTGGTTTGTGTGTCCTTTTATAGATCTGTCAGCTTTTTTGCCCATTTATCTGCATATGAGATTCCCCAAAACACTGTTGCTGAGTGTCCTGCTTTACCTGCACACGGGCTTCAGTCAGGTCAGTCCTCAGTGCAAGCTGCTCCCGGGCGTAAACGTCAGGATAGTGCGTCTTTTGGAAAACCTTCTCCAGCTCTTCCAGTTGGTAGCTTGTAAAGGTTGTGCGGTTGCGCCTCTTTTTGCCCTTGTTGCTCTCGCCGCCATCACCCTTGTCCAGAGGGCTCGACAAGTCTGTGCCCGGTGGCCGATCAGAGGCCGCCTTCACGCCCTGATCCTTCACAGACAGGTAGCTGGTGTCCATTCCAGGTGGGTCGGAGTCCGGTGCCAAGTCAGAGTCTGTCAGGCCTGAACTGTCTTTACCTGCAGAGACAGGAAGGAGATGAAAACTGTCAAGAGAGGTTCATGTTTTTATAATTCCATCAGGATGACAAACTGATCTTTGTATATGTGTTGACCTCTAACTGAAGATAAATCTGAAGATAAAGATTTAGATGTAACGCAATATGTTCTACTGCTGTTCTTCATGATTTAGGCTGCAGTGTAGAGTCAGCTGATTTAAGCTGTGCATGTGGATTCTTCGGATAAAGAGACAATGAAGAACAAGGGGCAAACTGTTTATATTGAAACTTGAACTTTTGCTTTTTGGAAAAGCTGGAACCAAGTCATTGTTTTGCAAGTCAGAAGAAAGTCTGATTCATAAAATGTGAATGCATTCATGTTTGCTACTGGAATATAAACGCTGAAAGAGGATTTACATCATTGTCTTCATCACCTATGTAGAATGATTTGTAGATATATTTTCCTAATCCCAACCTGGGACAAATATTTATAACTGTGTTGGTACCCTTAGAAAGGAAAACAGATGAAAACGAGCCTCTAGTCTGCTCAGCTCTAATATTGCCTCTGGCAGTTTACTCAAAACTCGTGATTTATTTGTAGGATCAGCATAATAATTCATGGGGTCTGATGGGGTGGAACAAAGGAATTTCTCGCTCTTTGTGAGGAAATACTGTGACAGTTGTGAAATCTGTTGGCGCACAGTGCCGAGTCTGTGTGCGTGTGTGTGCGTGTGTGTCGATTTGTTTGTCTATATCTGCCTGTGTAATGGATGGCCTGGATCACTGGCTGCTTACGGGATCCAGTTGTAGTTCGTAGATCATTCTGTGATGTGCTGGGGAACAGACACCCTGGCTCATAATTTGAGACTGACAGAAAGTTGCAGCTTTTTTTACTGCACACCCTCCCCAACCACCCGCACCCTCTGTTCCAAGGCACACACACATGAAACACACAAACACATCCCACTTTCTTTCTTTCACTCAGCCCTGCGTTTAGCATGTGGCTACAAAGTCACCTGGCAGCAAGACTGTCGCAATTAATTTGCCAGGGAGTCATTTCTAGCCACACAGAAAAGAGAAAGCCCCATCTCTGCACTCTCTCTTTGCCTCTCTGTCACACTTGCTTTCTTCACGACTGCAGCTTAACTATAAAACCTCAGGCAGCTCTCTGATCATAAATTTCCACAGCCGTGTCTCTGCCAGTGTTTTTGTCTAAGCTGGCAGCTCCTTTTGCTCTGCTGCTGCCCTTTGCTGAGCTATCTAGTTATACACACATCTCTGGATCAATACACATTCACATCGAGGAGGATGTAATCACTGAAAGAGTTTGGTTTCAGGCGTCTTAATGAGCCCCCCCGTCTCTCTCTGGCTCAGTCTAGTGGCGGCTCGCAGAGCTGCACCTTCCTGCTCCTTCAATACCATCTGAGGTGAAGTTATTTTCAGGATCGAGGACGTCTCTGCTCATCTGCCCATCCAACCATTTGTCAGGTTAGAACCAGGAGGTGTGTGTGTGCGTCCATGTGAGATCAGTGTGCAATTCTCAGCACTCAGTCAGCACTGAAGATCTCACACAAACACACACACGCACCCAGTGACCCGCAACTCACAGCCATGTTGGGTAATGTGCTGCAAGGTGAGGTGAATGGATATCTTGTCATAGACTCTCACAGACACATGCACAAAGTTATGAAGTGATATTTCAAGTTCATCTTTTTTGTCAACATTACAAGTCTTAATAGTAAAAGTAATGAATTTAAAAAAAAAATGTAGACACGGGTGTGTTTAAAAATGTCAAAAGGTTTTCCATTAGATAAGAATTAAAAGCACAAATACATTCTTCTGTTATTTCGGGGAACCTTTTATTCCATTTAGTGTCATTACATGGGCGGATTATGCAACATTGGGCCCCTGGGCACAGATATGAAAAAGGCCCCGCAAGTGTCTTCTATTATACATAGCTGCGAGACATAAAGACAGGTTTTGGGTTTTCTTTTTATTGGTCTTTTGCTTCTCTATGTAGTCTTTATGCATCCTTTTGTGGTTTTGTATATCTTTGAGATCATTTCGTGTCACAATTCTGTGAATTTATTTGGTCATTTTGTGTCCCTTTGTTGTCTTTGTGTGTCTCTTTAAGGTGATTTTGTGTCTCTTCCTGTTTTGTACGTCTTAATTTGAGTGACATTTTGCAGGTGTAGGCCTGGGCCCCCCTGACAATTTGGACCCCCGTCACTCACCCATTTAATAATCCATCCATGATTATGTCACCTTTGACCCTCTCTCTTTTTCAAGTGCGCATGCAGAGACCCAGTGTCATATGAAGTTTGTTTTATGTTTGTAGTTTAATGTAAACATTTTTAAAAGCAATACTATGTTTAACATTCACTGAAATTTATTTCTTTTTTTTACATAAAATACAAAAATTGATTCAGATACAGTCCCCTCTGAAACTATTAGAAGGCAAGGCCATTTCCTTTGTTTTTTGTTGTACACTCAAGACATTTGGGTTTCATATCAAAAGATGAATATGAGATAAGAGATTAGAAATTCAGCTTTTGTTTTCTGGCATTTACATCTAGATGTGTTGAACAACTCAGGACAAAGTACCTTTTGTTTGAACCCACACACTTTTCAAGTGAGCAAAAGTATTAGAACGTGTGACTGACAAGCGTTTCTCGTTGTCCAGGTGTTGCCTTTTAAATTGTTTAAACATTATATGGCTCTAAATGTCCACTCTTGGTTTTGGCTTTAGTGTTCACTAGAGACTTGTTGATATTGAACTGTTACTGTATTGTTAAGGACACGTACATTTTATGCTATGGATTTATTGAGGACTGAGAATTGTAAAATTTCTTGGCTGAGGTGGGGTTCGCTTGGATGTTTTTGATATGCTTTGATATGCCAATACAATACCTGACTTTCAGCACTATCACCAAAATAATACTTTTACATACCTACAATACCTGATAAACATCTAATTTTTAATAACACCTTGTTTCTTTTTAACAAAAGAAGCCAAGGCAAAGCTGTACATGAGTGCAAACTTTATAAAGCAATCCATGCCAGCTTTCAACACTTGTCAGTTTTTGATAGTCAGTGCTAGAAACACATTTCGGTCTGTTTGATGCCCAGGTCTAGTGATGGCAGACAGCCTACGGTTTTATTAACTCCTACTGAAGAGCTGTGCATGCCTTTTGCCAAATAAAGTTGCTGTACTGATTTTTTTTTAAGTCTTTTTCAGCTTTGCACAAAGAGAGTAAGATCTGTCCTGCTATACTGTTTAGATTCTGTAGCACCAGATGCACTTCATCCCTGCAAGATTCACTGGGCAGTGCGCTCTGGTTCCTGAGATGTTTGCCCCACAGTGCTGGAAACAGACTCGGCCTGTGGAGCCATGTTTTGGTGGCAGGGGGTCTAACGCCCACAACATTGCCTCGCTGTCCATGACTAACACATCCTGTTAGGCTTGAAGGGAGCAAATGTGTTTTATCCCAGCATAAATACTCTCCAGTTATTTCATCATATTTCCCTGGCTGGCACCCACAGTCCCCACAAGGCAAGAGCTGTCAGGCTGTTTGAAATCATGAGGCCTCTCGCTGATCAAAGGCCATTGTTTATATCGCATGTCACTGATGTTTTTTTGGCAGGAGCGGGATATTGTGACAATCTCCTGCTTGTTATCCATACGATCCGCTGTAGCTGTGAGGCTCTCCAACACTGCCCAAGGTGAACAGCAGTGGGCCCTCCTGCAGGGAACACCATATGTACGAAGACCATAGGAGAGTCTTACTGCAAACAATGCCTGTCAGGATTTAATCTCTGTGGAGGGAGGCAGGAAGGAGCGACTATGAAAAACATACGCCGCATCAAAATCTCAGTGTTCACCAGTACAATTGGCTTTTTCTTTTATCACCTGCACTTTTGCATGAACTGTCTCCAACACATCCCAACAATAATCCAGGAAACTCACCAACCAAAATTCTTTTTCTTTTCGGAACAATATGCCATGCAAAATGTTTGGAGTTGCAACCACAGAATGTTCTATTTTCACTGCAGCGGATCCAGCAGGCCGCATCTGGTCCAATTACTGTGTTACAGTGGGGAGAGTCTGCAGCTCTGCGTGGTGGACGCAGAGAAAGTTCTGCAGAAATCAGATACACAGAAAAGTACTTCAGGGCAAGCCGAGCCGTAATTTGCAGTTTAGCTCATGTGAATATTTCCACCTGACTACAGAACAACACAGGAGTCTGTATACAAGTCTAAATTTTCACATGCAACACACACACGCCACACTGTTTAGTTTTACGACGCATTATGTCACTGTTGGCATCGGTATCAAAATCAAACCGAGGATTGATTTACAGCAGTCCACCATGCCTCGTTTTTACTATTATGAGGCACTTCACGTTTGTTCTCGTGCGTCACACATTCAGCACGGACAGCCATTAATTCACAGTTGAAAATGAGGGGGCAACTTCAAAGTGTAATTTAACTGGCTGTAAAGCGACAGGGCACCTTCACTGCCTCTTTATTGACTGGGATGACTGGGGTCAGCTCACGGTGTTAAGAGGAAACGCTATAAATTACACACCACACGGCGACTGGGAGAGATTAACAACATGTTGCTCAAACTGGAAAAGAAATATCCGAAATAGAGGGAAACATAAACAGTGGGGAGAAGAGAGATGAAGACATGGGGAAAGGAGAAAGAGTTTTTCTAACTATATGCAGCGAACAGAGGAGAAAGGAAATGTGTGAACAAAGTATTTATTTGTACGTGTTTCTGGGGTTTGTTTAACTGACTTAAAACATGGATTTTGATTTAACATGAAGATTTGAACAGTGGATAACTCATAAGTCTTGCTTGGCTGCAGAGACAGAGGCTGGCTGAGACGCTGAGGCCTGATGCTGTGTGGGCTGGACAATCAAGCCAAGGAGAGAATATGATACATACAATAAATGAAGTTATTTATGACTACATAAAGAGGCTTTTTACAAATTACAAGCCAACGGCAGATAAGCGGT